TCATCATCATCTTTATCATCAGCATCGTCATCATCTTCATCATCAGCATCATCACCATCATCCGTCCTCCTACCTTTTTTCCCTCCTCATACTTTTCGCCTCTTCCTCCTCCCCCTCCCCATACATCCCTTTGATTGATGAGCAACTCCCTGTCGCACCCCAAGACGTGCCGGTCGGGCTGAGCAGCTTGGCCAGCGGCGCTGGATTGCAGCAGCGAGCCGCACGTACCTCGAATATTGGCCCTGTGCAGGACTCTCCCTGGCAGACTCTCTGACAACCGCGCTAGGTTTCGGCATGGGAGGTCTCCCCCGAAGGCACGATGGATTGGGCCCCCCATGGGTGTCTTCTACTGATCGAGTCGCCGCCGCAGAAGCCTCGGATCAACGCGACCTCCCACGTGGAACGCAGGCGCTCCCGCCCATAGGTTGCTTCCCATATGCTCCTCCCCATAAACTGTTCCCCAACTACTCATCCCCAATGCCCGCTCCCCATGTGTTCCTCCCATGGGCTGCTCCCCATGTGCTCCTCCCCACATGCTTTGCTCCCCATCAGGCCCCCTCGCACTCGGACCCCCTCCCGCACAGACTCAACCACATTCAGAGTCACCTCTCATACTCACGCGCGCTCACCTATCACCACCGCGATGAAGCAGGCATATCACTTGGGCGGGCACCCCAGGGGGGGGGTCGCCATAGGATACGACACTTGCCCGTTCGCGCTCTGGCTCCAGGAATGCCTCGTGCAAGGCGGACGTTTTTTTTTTTTGTTTTAAAATATCGGGGCCGCCTGATCATGGCGATGCAGCAGGTTTGGCCCCCACACCCCACACCCCACACCCACGCCCGCTTAAACCTCCGCGCTGGACGATCTGCGCCAAGTGCCGAACCGGAAAGATCGTGAACCGCAAAGGTGCATGTTTGAGTTTTCCTTCGTGGGTTGTGCATCTCCAGTGCCTCGCGCAGCTGTGGGCGAGATTTTCCTGTCTCGCTGCGAAAGAGAGACGCTGACAAAATCATGCCGTCAGCTAGGCGATCGGGGCCTCGACGTGCCGCCGCGCTCTCCGAGCATCCTCGGTCGACTTAGTGGAACTGTTTGCCGCCTTCGGACTTGCAGTTCTGTTGGGGCCCCCGAAGCCAAGCCCCCGCCGCAGCCACCACCAGACATCGATCAGTATGATGACGGTGTCGACCCTCAGACGGAAAACGTTCTCCTCCTCCTCCACTTTTGGACACGCCCGACCTCCTCCTCCTCCTCCTCCTCCTCCTCTTCCTCCATTCCTTTTCCTTGTGAATAACTTCTCCCCGTCGCACCCCGGGGCCAGTTTTTAGGGCGGGCCGAGCGTTTCGCCTGAGACTTCCTCACCATTTATGGTTCAGAAGCTTAAGCCATGGCAACAGTTTCACAGATGGAGGGCAGGTCGTTTTCAAAATGTGGTTCTCGCTTTAGCGCCGCGAACGTTCGTCTTAAACATTTGCAAGAGTTTCACGGATTGAGGGCGGGTCGTTTTCAACATGTGGCTCTCGCCCTAGCGCCGCGCATGTTCGTTTTTGAATTGGGCAAGAATTTCACGGATTGAGGGCGGGTCCTTTTCAAAATGTGGTTTCCGCCTTAGCGCCGCGCACGTTCGTTTTTACTATTTGCAAGAGTTTCACGGATAGAGCGCGGGTCCTTTTCAACATGTGGTTCTCGCTTTAGCGCCGCGCACATTCGTTAAACTCAAATTGCATGAGCTTCACGGATTGAGGGCGGTTCCTTTTCAAAATGTGGCTCTCGCCTTCGTGCCGCGCACATTCGCTAAACCAAAGTTGCAATAGTTTCACGGATTGAGGGCGGTTCCTTTTCAAACTGTGGTTCTCGCCTTAGCGCCGCGCATATTCGCTTCAAACCTTTGCAAGAGTTTCACGGATTTAAGGCGGTTCCTCTTCAACATGTGGCTCTCGCCTTAGCGCCGCGCACATTCGTTTTCAAGCTTTGCAAGAGTTTCACGGTTCCCAGATCAACGTACCAGAAATGGTGTGTTGGACGGATTCAGGATCATGCGGGTGCAACAGTTATGTTGATTCGCGGTGCTGGAGTCCCCAACATGACGTTCTGGCATGATACCATATCGTCAGGACGCAGCAGTCAGGTTGATCCGTAGCGTGGAAATCCTGAGCACAATGTTTTGGCATGCTTCAAGGTCTTCAAACGGTTGTCTTTGAATGGGGTAGTTCCCTCAATGGAAAATAACCGCTGTCGGGGCCTAAGAAGGGGTAGCCTGGAGGGAGGGTTAATTCCAACATCGTTGGTGGTTCTTGGTTTACATTGGTCCTCCTCCTCCTCCTCCTCCTCCTCCTCCTCCTCCTCCCCCTTTTCCTCCTCTCCCTCCTCCTCCTCCTCCTCCTCCTCCTCCTCGACTTCGATCAGCATGATGACGGTGGCGACCCTCAGATGTAAGACGTTACCTCTCCTGCAGTCCTGGACGGCGGCAGCGTCGCTCGTGCAGGTGATGTCGGGGGCGGAAAAGAGGGGGGTGATGACTAGGGGGGGGGGTGGATCTCATGGCGGGGGGCATGATATTTCCTCAGATTTCATGGCGCCTCTTCTTAATTCATTACGTCCCTAGTTCCCCCGCTGGGCCGCGCACATGCCGCCTGCCATGATTTGCACCCCCCCCTCTTGGACACCCCCCTCTTGGCCGCTCCCGATGATGTCCCTGACGTTCCACCCCCTCCTCCTCCTCCTCCTCCTCCTCCTCCTCCTCCTCCTCCTCCTCCTCCCACCGACTCCGACGGCGAGCTCGACGGGTTGCTGGGGCTGCACGGCTTGTTGGTTTTCAATCCAGTGGGCGCCACGGAGGGGAACGTGGACGTGTGGGTGGTGGCGCGGAAGGGGGTGTCAGTTCTCAGAGCCATCAAGCCGCTGTGCCACCTTTTGGACCCCCTGTTGTTCTCCAAGAGGCCGCCGATGACTCCTGGGACGGCGGTGCCGATGACCCTGGAGCGCTGCTCGGGGTGACTGCCACGCCCCTGGGCTCGCTTTAGGATGCTCCCGAGGAACATGTTGGCGACGGCGACGTGGTCGGCTTCACCCAGCTGCCCTTCCTTCCATGACCATGATGGACGGCCTGCCCCACCTGTCCCACTGTACTTGATTGAAGCCGCCCTCGCTGCTCTCCCGTTCGCACGTGAAGGACCTCCTACCTCGTGAAAGGGACCCCGTCCGACCGCCCCGACGATCCCGGGTGGCTCGTCCGAAGCGCTCTCAACAGCATCGGTGACCCTAGAACCGCCACGGTGCATTCTCATGGACGACGCGCCGCCCTCGACCACGGTGCCAATCGAAGAACATGGCGTTTTTCTGTATTCTGGCGACCCGGTCCCTCTTGACATTGCGGGTGTTGACTATCCCGATGACTGGGCGAGCACTGCCGGGACGGCTTAGCCTCCTGTTCCCGACGGACCCCGTGGATCTGGAACACTTCGACCCGTGGGCGCTCAACAAGAATGGACTCGCCCTACGGCTTCGGTAACACGGAGGTGTCTCCTCCTGCTGTGCTGGCAGGCCCGTCATCGGTCTCCCTGCTCCCGCTGACGCTACGCTGCTGGCGGTTGAAACAGCTGCTGGTGCTCTACAGTCAACCCGCACAGTAAGGATGGGTAACCTTCCCAAGGGTACCCTTGCATCCTTGCCTCCTCGGCCCATTCTTGGCCACTTTCGTTGGCCGCTCGACAAGCCTCGACGTGGGCGTCCAAGGCCCTTGCATCCTTGTCGCGCATCCTCACTATACGGGTTGACTGTACCTGCTTCTGGAGATGCGGCTGAGGAAGGAAGCGCCAGGAATGCCACTGGTCTTCTTACCCACTGCGATGCTGTGCCCGACCTGCCGGCGCCTGCTGGTGACGCTAATTGTCGAGGTCCTCCCGGCGCCCGTCCGGGCGCGCTCGTCGGCCTCGCCCTCGGGGGCCCGCCGCTGCCATCACCGACCCCGACTGCAACGTCGCCGTGCCCGTCGGCATCTCTGAGGACGGCACCGACGGCCTCCACACCGCCACCGAGCCGCAACCGGACCTCCTCCCCTTCCTTCCCCCGCCTTCCTCCCTCTCCTCGCTCTCCTGATCCTCCGTATCTTCCGCTGCTTCTTCGCTCTCCTCTTGTATATCCTCGTCTTCCTCGTCCGCTTCATCCTCTGCGCATCCGCCTCGTGCCCTCTCAAGCCACTCACCTGGTCTCGAGCTGTTTTGGCCATCCGCCTCCTCCCCCCCCCTCCCTCCTCTCCCTCCTCTCCATCCTCTCACCTCCTCCCTCCCCTATCTCTCTCCTCTCACTCTTCTCAATGCTCTCCCTCCCCTCCCTCTCTCTATCTCCATCCCCTCCCTCCCCTTCCTCCCTCCCTCCCTCCCCCCCTTCCCCTGACGAGGAGGGGGACGAGGAGGAGGAGGAGGGGGAGGAGGAGGATAACGATGAGGAGGAGGAAGAAGAGGATGAGGAGGAGGAGGAGGAGCAGGAGGAGGAGGAGAGAATTAGGAGAGCGTTTGAGATGTCAGGAGGGGCGGGCAGGCAGCACCGAGCGCACTTTTTTACCCTTGTTCATTACCTGAACTAATTGAGAATTGCCGATTATGTTGTGTCTTCCTCACGTTTCTCCTCCTCCTCCTCCTCCTCCTCCTCCTCCTCCTCCTCCTCCTCTCTCACCTGTCCTCATCCTTTTCCTCCTCCTCATTGTCCTTATCCTCTTCCTCCTCCTCTCTCACCTGTCCGTCTTGTCCTCATCCTTTTCCTCCTCTTCATCGTCCTTGTCCTCTTCCTCCTCCTCTCTCACCTGTCCGTCTTGTCCTCATCCTTTTCCTCCTCCTCATCGTCCTTATCCTCTTCCTCCTCCTCCTCTCTCACCTGCCCGTCTTGTTCTCCTCCTTTTCCTCCTCCTCCCCCCTCCTCCTTCTCGTCCTCTCCCTAAGGACAGCGTTCGTTATCAAAGAGTCTAAAGCGTCCTCCTCCTTCTCATCCTTTCCTCCTCTTCTCTACCTGTCTCTCTCGCCTTCCTCTTTGTACCCCCCTCCGCCGCCATTGCTGCCTCGTAGCTATCTGAAGATCAAGGCAGCTCCAACGCTCCAGCTTATTTTTTCCCCCGCAATGAAGACCTTTCAGGCGGCGGCCACCGTGGCGCTGCTGCTGGTCGGCGCGACTCCGACCCAGGCGGCCGCCGACGGTCAGAACCCGCTGGGCAAGGCTGCGCGGCGTGCACAAGGGGGGTGTGGCGGGGGCGGGGCGAAGCCGAGGGGAAGAAGCACTGAGTAGGGTTGAGAGTCAGAGAGCGCCCTCCTCTGCAGGATCATCAAACATGGGACGTCCAGGGGTGCATCAAGGGGGGCGTCAAGCGGATGCATCTAGGGTAGGCGCCATGGGAGCGCCATGGGGCGCTATGGGAGCGCAGAGTGGTTACACCCCTTGACGCCCGTTCCTGGGTGTCTGCAGACCCGACCCTTCAGCCCTACACCAAAGAGGCACGGGGAACACGACCAAGGTGTCGTGGAATCCTGTCGATGCCGATCTTGGCCATGGTCCATGTCGGCCGTCGCCGATCTCGAGGGGCCGATCCACGACCTGGCGCCGAGCATGATCGGCGGTGGCCAAGATCAGCACGACGTTTCCACGTTCTGTCTTAGGTCATGGTCCCTTTGTTCTTCCTCTCCACAGATGGGTGGGGTCGGGAGGGGCTGGGGCAAGGATGGATCCGTTCCAGAGCGTTCCCGAACGCTCTCAGAGCGCTCGGGAACGCTCTGAGAAGGCCGCGCCGCCCGGTACGCCTTCAGAAGCGCCGGGCCTCAGGGATTTCCGCTTCGTGCGCGCTCGAGTCGGATCCTCACCCTGGCCTCGTCGCAGGGCGGGCAGGCCCTCGGCGACGGCCCGCGGCCCCACCGGGAGCAGCCCGTGGGACGCGCGGGCTCGCCGAGGCCCCAGGCTGGACCTGAACGCAGTTCTGCTGGGCCTGGGCCGTGTGTTCGTTTTTTCGTTTTGGCAGGGAGGTGTAAAACAGGGCTAGGATCGGGATAAATCGCTCCAGAGCGTTCCGGAGCGCTCTCAGAGCGTTCCGGAACGCTCTGGAGCGGCCGCGGCGCCCCATACATCCTCCAAACCCGCCGATCCTCAGAGATTTCGAGTTATCCGATCCGATGTTGTCCGATCTTTCGCGTCGTTTTGAGGTGCAGGAGGGCGGTCGGCGCAGGACGAGAGCAGCCGAGCAGCTCGAGCAGCACCGCTCAGGTCGGCCCTGCCGAGGGCCGAGGCCCGCCCGCGGGGCCCTTGCCCGCCGCCTGCGCGGGGGGGGGGGGCGCCCCCGCTCGGCCCGCCCCTTTGGGCCCCTCCCTTTGGCTCTCCTTCTCTGCTCCTCCTCCCTCATCCTCCTCCTGCCTCCTCCTCCTCCTCCTGCTCCTCCTCCCTCCTCCCTCCTCCCTCCTCTCCTCACCTCCCTCCTCCTCCTCCTCCTCCTCCTCCCCTCCCCCCCCCCCTCTCCGATCGAGCCTCGAGCCCATCCAGGGCGCGGGCCCCCGCCCTCGGGGGGGGCCGCGGCCTCGGCCCGCCGCCGCAGGGTCGAGGCGGGCGGCGGAGCGGGCCTCGGCGCCTCCTCCTCCTCCTCCTCTCCTCCTCCCATCCTCCTCCTCTCTCCTCCTTCCTCCTCCTCTCCTCCCTCCTCCTCCTCTCCTCCTCCTCCTCCTTCTCCTAATCCTCCTCCTCAGCCTCCTCCTTCCTCCTC